ACATATGAAATGTGTTTAAAATATAACTTCAAAATTTGCTGAACAATTATCTGGCTAAAAAGAAAGCTGTTAACCAAGTTCTTGAACTTGAAATAGAGTTCAGTTAATATACATATACTAGGTAATGAAGGTATTTAGCAAGGTATATGACAATTTCAATAATTTCCCAGGTGCACCTTCAAGATGGAGAAGGAGCTGAGGACACTGGAAAGCTCATTGAATTTGAAGTTTGATGACCTGGCTCTGCTTCTTTCTGGCCATTTGACCTAGGATAAGTTACTTAAGCTCTGTAAATCTCATTTTCCTCCCCTGTAGAATGAGTTGGTTTAGATGATTTCTGACCTCCTTTCTGCCCCTGAATTTATGTTCTATGAAAGTAGGAAAGAACAAATGAGTTCAGACTATTAAAATAGTCATTTGAAAGTAAAACCTAATGTAAGATCATAGATTTAGAGCTAGAAGAGACCTGAGAGATCATTGAGGCTAACTGCCTTTATTTCAGAGATGAAAAAAGAGGCCCAGAGAAAGTAATTGGCTTGTCCTAGGTCTTACAGGTAATAAATAGGAGACCTGGGATTTGAACCTATGTCCTTTGACTTCCATCCAGTACTCTTTCTAGCGGGCTACTAATCCTTACATACTTTATAGAGTTGCTGGAATAACTGAAGTCTCCTTCAGACACCAATTGGGATCAAAACATCAGTTTCTTATTTGCATTGGTACTCAAGTACCTTCTGGCACAAAATTTACTGGAAAAAGAATTACAGAATACTAGAACTATAAAGGATCCTGGAACTTGTTTTGATTAATACTCTCAGTTTTGGTTGGGATCTATGACATCAGAGATACTTTCCATTTTATACATCAATAATCAATTAATCAAACATTTATTAAGTGCCTCCTGCATGCCAGGTACTGTGCCCTAGGCACTGTGGATACAAATCAAAGATGACATTGTCCTGCTTTCAAGGAGTTTACATTCTACTAAGGAGAGGTTAAATACACACACAGTAAGTAGATAAGTAAATGTAGCACGTATGCAAAATAAAATAATGATGAAGTTGAGATGCAGAGGACTGAAATAATTCACCAGATGTCACTGGTACATTAATGACAGTCAGGACTCAGACAAGCACTTATGACTCGAGTTGCTAAGTCCTTTCAAAAGTTATCAAATATGTTGCAATAACTTAGAAAAGAGTGAAATTCACTTTTAGTGGAACTGACTACTATTTTGAATTGGCTCAGGGTGTTATAATACGCTACATATCATCCCAGTTAGAGCTAATTCTCTGAATGGAAATGTTCTAACCTCAGGAAACCTAAGAGTATAGGGCTTGACGGGAGGCAGGAGGGCAAAGAGCTGGTGTTTTTTTTACCAGAACCAGCAGAGGGCAGCAGAGAGCTACCTGAATCAGGGTATAAACGAAGGCCAACCTTGTTCTTATTGTGGACAAACTCTTGACTGGGTCATGGTAAAGCAGAAATCAGTAGACTAGTGCTGCTGGGAATCTGGATAGCTGGCAAGAAGTAGGGTATTGCTCTGAGTCAGCAAAGCCAAGGAGAAGGTCCAAAGAGTGAAACTTGGCCCAGGCTCAGGCAGAAGCAATGAGAATAAGTTATCAAGTGGGCAATAAAATTAGAACTGACAAAATTCCTGCAGGTGGTCTCTTGGCACCAACCATTCTGCTCTTTAAAAGGACATCTCCCAGTTGGCTCCTGATAACATAGCCAGGTTCTTACAGGTAGTAAATAGGGCCCTTTTCGCTAACCTAGAATGACTAGGTTATTTATGGTTAGAATAATCCAAGGTGAAGAATGCCAAAGCCAAACCAGTAAGCTATGACTCGTAGCAAAAGAATTGAAAATAATAATTTGGCAAAACTAACCTATAAATCATCAAGGGGAAATTAGGCATTGGAGTCAAGTGACCAGTTTGGTGTCAATAGATGTAGACATCGGGATTAGAGGGGGAAAAGAATGAGATTATCAAGAAAAAGCTAGGAACATAGGAATCAAGGGGAGTTGGGGAATCACTGACTTGAAATTGGGTAATGAACACAAGAAATCAGATCCCCAGTAGATAGGAGAGTACCTGGAAGCATTGATTCCCTGGTTCCACCTGGTGGTACATTTTATATACCGAGGATAATTAATCTTTACTCAGCATCCCCAACAGCTGAAACATCTAAGCAGCCAGATAGAGTTCATAATGCAGATTAAATACACACCAAAAGAAAGCAGAGGGAAGCTACTCTAGGGTTTTTTTTTAAACTATGTTATATCTGATAGGTGAGGCAAAGGGGGGCTTTGTTATTAGAAAGTTCTTCTGTCTACCTTTGGGTAACATCAATTCTTCTACTCCCTCCAAAGAAATACAGAGCCATGAGCTTCTCTGTTGTGTGTTTGGAAGTAGGTTCACTGGATCCATTTCTCTTCAGACACTTATTACTATGTGACCCTGAGCAAGTCACTTAATCCCTGTTTGCCTCAGTTTCCTCATCTGTAAAATGAGCTGGAGTAGGAAATGGCAAACCACTTTAGTATCTTTGCCAAGAAAAGCCCAAGAAAGGGTCATGAAGAGTCAGACATGACTGGAAATGATGAAATAACAACAAACCTTAGAGTGCTACAGGAAATACTCGGTGGCTAGAACCCAGACAAACAACTTTGCTGAAGTTGTGAGGATGTTGAATGAATTTAGTGAGTATGCATGTAGTCATTTGAAGGTCACAGACAAGAGTTTCTGAGCTTTGGTGGTTTTAATAAGATACAGAAGAAAAGGTAGCTAGTTTTATTGCACTGGTGCTCATCCTGAAGCGCATCTGCATTTTAATCTAAGAAGAACTTGACTTTTGTAAAGAATAGGGTCTTTAAGTTCTGATGCTATTTATTTGCAAGCCCTTCTACTAGACTAAGTCCCTTGAGGGGAAGGGCTAGGTTTAAAAAAAAATTACTCTTGTTATCCTGAGAGAGGCAGAATCACTTAGTAGATAGAGGTATGCCCTTGGATTCTGGAAGACCTGGGTTCAAGTCCTGCCCCGGAAACAAATATATTTTGTTATCATAAGTAAGTCACTTAACCTCTCAATGTCCCAAGAAACTTTCTAAGATTTCTAAGCTGCAGATGAGTTGTCTACCTGTATCAAGTGGAAGAAGTTTTGGCATTCACAGTCGTCTTCCCCCCCCACCCCTACTTCTTCGCCACAGTGTAAACCTATGAATGTGTTAAGTTTGAGGAGACAAAAAATGTATATATATGCATATATATATATATACATACATATATCCCTTCAAACCTAACACAGTACACTGCACATAGCAGACACTTAATATATGTTTGTTGAATTAATCAACTCATTGAGCACATACAATTTGTAAATCACTGGACCAGGCAATGAGGTGGGGGGTTACAGTGGGAATACAAAGAAGAAATGTATAATTCCTGGCCTCAAGGATCTTAGAATGTTGATGAGGAGAAAGGGCATATATTCATTCAAATGTCTTCTTTACCACAACCTTACCTAAATCCTGGCCCACCTGACCAAGCTTTTCACTGAAATTTACCCTCAAACTGGCCCCACCACCCTTATATGGGGAGAGAGCATTGGAGATCTATTATGAGGCAGTGGAGGTGGCACAGTGATAGGGTGCTAGGGCTGGAAGTAGGAGACCTTAGTTTGAATCCAGCCCCATTCACGTACTAGCTGTGTAACCCTGGGCAAGTCACACAACCTTTATCTACCTCAGTGTCCTGATCTGAAAAATGGGGATAATAATAACACCTACCTCCCAGAGTCGCTGTGAGGATGAAATGAGATAGTACTTGTAAAGCATTTTGTAAATCTTAAATGCTAGTTGTTATTATTACTTTGAACAAGACAGTTCCAGAAATATGCTGAGAATAAAAAATAAAATGCCAAGGGGGTAGGAGTGAGTAAACAACGAGGAGACAGACACAAGCTAACATAGACCACTGACTTAAGAAGTTTGACAGCAAAAAGAATGAGAGATAAGAAATAGCCTGAGTGATATAGGGTCAAGTGAAAGATTTTTCAAGATAAGGGAGATTGCAGCATACTTGAAGATAGCAGAACAAAAGCCAGTTTTGGGGGGTGTTGTTCAGTCATTTCAGTCATGTCTGAATGGGGTCCCATTTGGAGTTTTCTTGACAAAGATACTGTAGTGGCTTTGCCATTTCCTTCTCCAACTCATTTTACAGAGGAGGAAACCAAGACAAGCAGTTAAGTGACTTGCCCAGGCTCACACAGCTAATTAGTGTCTGAGATCAGATTTGAATCTGATCAGGAAGATGATTCCAAGCCCAGTGCTTTATCTACTGAGCCACTTAGAATTCAAAGGCACTGTATAGAGAGGGGGTATTTGATGGAAGACAATTTGGGAGGGGGGAGTTATGAAAACAAGGAGGACCATTGATTTAAACACCTCAGGAATCATCTGAAGTACAACCCTCTCATTTTACAGTTGAGGAAACTGAGACTCAGAGAAATTAAATGATTTGTCTATGGTTATACAGAAAGTAAGTGGACCAGATGCTATTCAAACCCAGATTCTCTAACTTCAAATCTAGTACTTTTCCACTTTTCAGCCTTAGAAAGGAAAAATACATCTTCTTTGAGAGAGGAAGAAATAAAGACAGGCTTGATGTAGCTATAGAGATATTCTGAGGTGGAATGGAAGGCCAATGGGGAAAATTCATCTCTTAAATCTTTAGTCTTCTAGGTAGGGTAGTGAGAGGAGCTGTCTGCTAAAGGTGAGGCAGGAGGGACGAATGGAAAACATAGAATAGGTTGGGAAAAATCACTGTGGGGGAATAAGCTAAGGAAAGAGCAAGGGATGTGTGAAGGCATTGACAAGGAACAGTGAGGGTCTAGCTGAACTGGGGTGTCATGTCTCTGAGACAGCGTTCTCATTCCATAAAGACTGGCTCAGTGAGATAAAGTCTCATCACGTAAGAAATAGCACCCAGAGGTACTTACTAATAGCACTACTCCACGTTCTCCTTTGGCACCTTTTAGTCCATTTAGACCAGGCCTTCCCTGAAATTTAGAAAATGGGGTTTTAGCAGGTACTTTTCTTTTAATTATATCTACATTCACAATAATTTTCACAGACTTCAATTTGTGAAATACCGATACTTACTGGTCGACCTGGAAAACCGAACTCTCCCTTATGTCCAGGCGGTCCTTTGGGCCCCTGAGGTCAAAGTGAAAAGTATTATTGGTTAAAAACAGAACTTACATTTTGTGGCACATCACTCACCTACAGAAACTAAGGCTGACATTTCACTTGCAGACAAAGGAGCATTTACAAAGAAAGAAAAACCCCACTAAACTCTAAAAAGTTAGTATCTATATAAAAGATGGAAAGGATAGAGGATTGTCTTTGAGGGGAAAAAGGAAGCTAAAGAGAAAGGAAGTAATGAAGAGAGAATGAAAAATGTGAGGATACCCTCTTGGGACATAAAATTCATTCCAAAACACACACACACACACACACACACACACACACACACACATTCACATACAATGTTATTGACTGGATTCTCATGATTAGTAAGTTTGACCTCTGGTCCTCAAAATAGTACAGGGCATAAGATGCTAGTATCCACAATTCTCAGTTAATTTAAAAGTTTTAAGTAGATGAATAAAAAATATATAATCAGTTCTGATATGTGATTTCATCAATAAAAGGAACTTTTGAGTATGGAAACCCACTTTACTGATAGGCTCATTAAGTCATCTATAACTTTCAATTTTAGACTATTGCCTGGGACACAAAAAGTTTAAGTGACTTACCCTTAGTCATATAGTTAGACTATATTAGTGGTAGTACTTAAGCCTAGGGCTTCCTGACTTCATTTATGATGCCATGCTACCTCCGTGAATTGTAAATTACCCAGTACCTATTCTGAGATTACACTCATTTAGACTATTCATAAATTTATTACATTGAAAAATCATACATAATTCATGAAAGATGAGCCAGTCTATCCCTGATCAATGCTCAGAATACAAATCACAATTATGTAAAAAGCTAGTTTAGGCAGACATGCAATCTGAGGAACATTTCCAAGACAAAACAAGCAGTTACTGGATAAATGTGGAGGCCAAGAGTTTCTGTGGGTAAAAAATCTTTGCTCTAGGAAGCACAACCAAATTCTCAGAACCATGTGGAGGCTTCTCATTATGGTCAGAATCATAGCACATGATCTAAATTATAGTCTAAATCATGATGGAATGGGGAAGGGGGTCAGTCAAGGTTCTTAATTCCCTATAGCTGAGGAACTTTTCACCTTGTGAAGGATTTACCGGGGTCAAAGAGAAAGAATGGAGTTAATTGGTTCCCCTATGTTGCCATGTGGTGAACATTGCATCAGCCAGGCTCCAATAAAATGAAACTATACCAGCATTTGGAATACAAGCATGTGGACAATTTTTTAAAAGCTATTTCTAGCTTGGATCTGCTTCCTTGGATATTTTGTCATCAACACGAAACTGTCTAAATTCAAATTAATCTGCCCTTCTACCCCATTTGATACTTCCAGTGTGATGCCCCCTCCCCCTACCCCAACTCACTTCCCTGTTTCTATTAGAGAAAAGGTAAAAAAGTTAGCATATACTCCTTATCTCCCCTACTAGATTGGAAGCTCCTAGAAGGCAGGCATCAATCTTATTTCTCTTTTTATCTCCCTCAGAGACTCGCCCAATGTTTTGCATAGAGTCTGGCACTTAATGTGTTATGACTTGATTTGGTTTGAATTAACTTGAGGTAAGGTAAGAGGAGTCAAGAGTATCAGTCGGGAAGGAAGCACCAGAGCTTTGCCAATTCCCCCTTGGTATCCACGTCCCTTGGCCTCTCAGTTCCTCCCATAAGGAGGAATCTTTTCTGATTGCTCTTTCTGCTGCAAGGCCCAGGGATGCCTGAGTAGCCTTGGAACATGTTCTCAGAAATTTTCTGTACACTAAAGTGAAGCCAGCTCTCATCAGTGGCCACTAAACCTCCGCTGAACTATCTTAGAGTGTGCCTACCATTCCCTTTAGCTGCATAGAAGTTCATGCAAACAAGCATGAACCTATAAAGATGGCCTTCTCTCCAAGGGGGAACAAAGGACCTATCTGCCACAGATGGGAATCGAAAGCATCAGCACACAAACCAACACAAAGATTCACAACACAAAGGAAGAGCAGACCCAGCCCCCAGACCCTGCAGAATGGCCTTCTGTATTTAGCTCTCAGAGATATAACTCTGCACTTTCTACCAGATGGGGGACTAGCTTCTCTCTAATTGGCACTAAGAGTTTATGTTGATTCCTCTAGAAAAGAGTCCTGAGACCAAGAAGTCTGAGAACTTCTTATCTGCTGTAGGCATGGTTAGATGACAGAAAGGGAGTTACACCCACAGGTATTGTATTTGTATCCACAATGCTTAGCACTGTGCCTGGCACATAATAAACACTTAGTAAATGCTCTGTCTGCCTGCCTATCCATAGGTAATAAGTCATGTGTTGGCTTTTAACACAATGAGACCATTATCATTTAGATCCCACAAGGAAGCTAGTGGACTCTGGTGTCAATGTTGGCATTGAGACCCAGGCCAGACTAAAGGTCAAAGTGTCTAGCCCCTTTTTTGCCAATGAGACCTGAGTCTCCCATTAATATCACATCCATTCTTGAACAATTCAGTCAGCATCAATCCATGGATATGACAAAAGTATTGGCAGAAAGGCTCATCCAGAGGGAGGTACAGGAGCATAGAAGTGATGTTCATTGGAGTGTAACACTCCTCCCCCACCCCCCCTACCCCCCCCCCCCAAGCTGGACACACACAGAAATGGATTAAAGCAGGGGATCAAAGCTGCTATAGGGCAGGGAAAGAGAGCAGCTGGAAGCAGAGACAGCAGATAAACTCACTGGAGTGAAGCCTCAAGCAATGCATTATAGCAGAGGCAGGCTGGCTGGCAAATCAGCCCAGGGGATGGCAATAAGGCATGGGGTGATGTTTGCAAGCAAAGGCTTCCATTCTGCTCTGAATCTCAGGAACTGAGTGAAAATACAGTGACAATCCACACTGCCATAGCTGAAAATCAAAGGTCAGTGTTTAACGTAGAAAGGTCAGTTGGTTTTTGCTCTCTCTCTCTCTCTCTCTCTGTCTCTCTCTCTCTCCTCCATCTTTCTTCCTCCACCCCCCACTCTCTCTCTCTCTCTCTCTCTTATTCTTTTCAGCCTCATCCATACGCAGACAGTGATCACTAGCAGAAATGTTATCTTTGAATTTGAAAGACAGCATTTTCTAAGTTAATGTTCAATTCCAGCAAGAGGCTGATGTTTAAAAGGAATCGCCTAGCTTCTTATTCCACTATCCTTCTGTAGGGGCCTAGATGAATTATTTAAGAGACATAGCAGCTTTAGGAGATGCTAGTTCTCACTGGGGATGTTTGCATAACAAGAGCATTTATGTTGGAAACAAAAGGAAAGACCAGTGAGATTTAGCACCTGCTTGAAGTATTTATACTCTTGATGAACATTTAGGTTGTTACAATATACTCTTGGGTCTTTGTGAATGATAAAGGCTCATGAACAATTCAGCTACATTGGGTATGATGTTTGAAACACTGTCACACAGTTCACTAAACGTTTTCTCATACCATTGGCCCCGGTGGTCCCTGAATTCCATTTTCACCCTGACAAAAAAAAAAAAAAAAAAAAAAAAAAGCTTGAGTTAATCATTCCACTCCATTCAGCTAGCATATATTGGGCATACGCTGTGAGTCAGGTACTGGGCTAGCTAGGTGCTGGGGAGACAGAGAGAAAACAAAAAAGGCCTTGCCCTTAGGGAGCTTACATTTCACTAGATAATACAGCAAATGCTCAGATAAGTATATGCAAATAATAATATACAAAGGAATAGGAAATGCAAAGTAATGGGGGTAGGACAAGGTGGGGGGATCAGGAGAGGCCTACTTTAGAAGGTGGCATTTGAAGGAAGCCAGGGATCTAATATCATTATAACATGGCCTTTCGCAACATGAACCATCAAATGGGCAAGTTTGGCAGGAGTGTAGAGTGAATGAAGGGGAGTAATGTGTGATCAGTCTGGAAACACTGGCTAGAGCCAGATGGTGAAAGACTTTGAAGACCAAACAGAGAAGCTTGAAATTCATCCTAGAGTCAATAGGAAGCCACTGAGGCTTCTTGAGCAGGTGAATGACGTGTTACACCTACATCTCATAATTTTTGCAGAATATCAATGTTGTAGAATGGGGGGGGCGGTACATTGGATAAGGGAAATACTGAAGATAAGGAGTAAATTAAGAGGATATTGTAATGGTCCCAGTAAAAGGTGATTGGGGACTGAACTAGGATGGTAGTCCCGTGACTACCTGAGTCTGGCACTTAATGTGTTATGACTTGATTGGGTTTGAGTTAACTTGAGGTAAGGTAAGAGGAGTCAAGAGTATCAGCTGGGAAGGAAGCACCAAAGCTTTGCCAATTCCCCCTTGGTATCCACGTCCCTTGGCCTCTCAGTTCCTCCCATAGGGACTAGATTCCACAGATGTTGAGGACGTAAAATCAATGGGAATTGGCGGGAAGGGAGAGGGGTGGAGAGGGTAAGGAAGAGGAGCTGAGGATGACTGTGAGTCTGTGAATTTGGGTGATGGCCTCAACAGAAATAGAGAAGTTAGGAAACAGGGGGAGGTTGGGTGGTTTGGGGTGAAAATATTGAACACTTAGAATTTGAGATGCCTATGTGCCATCTAGGTGTAGATGTCCAGCAGGGAGTTGGGGATGTGAGGTTGCCACTCAGGAGACAGATGAGGATGTATGTGTAAATTTAGGTCATCTTCATAAAGATGACACTTGAACTCTGTTGAAATCATCAAAAGAAAAGACACAACAGGGCCTAGGACAGGCTTCAAAAGGGATGTGGCAGTAAAGCAGACTGAAAGGAAAATTTCCTTCAGAGAAACTTCATAGTCAATTCAAATGCCCACATAAAGTCAATAAATCTGGTGAGATCTTTACCTTTTTCCACATCAACCTCTCGAGGGCAGTATCGCCAGCGAGAATGGTTCCTGGTTCACCCTTCTCACCCTGAAATGCAGAGAACTTTGTGAGGAAGCCATTTGGGTCCTTTTAAAAAATATTTACCCTTGGGGCAGCTAGGTGGCGCAGTGGATGGAGCTCTGACTTTGGAGTCAGGAGGACCTGAGTTCAAATCTGGCCTCAAGCACATAACACTCACTAGCTGTGTGACCCTGGGCAAGTCATTTAACACCATTGCCACCAAAAAAAAAGAAAAAAAAAGAAAAAATATTTACCTTCACACAGTTCACTTAACCAGTGGCAGCCTCCAATATGTATATATCTTTTTAAAAAAGATTATTGATGTGTTTTGTTTCTACGTTGTAAACATTTACTAATTATTGTCATTCCATGAGAAGTCTCTTGTAACAAAATAAAACAATTAAGCAAAACCAACAAGATAATGATTTCATCTGAAAGTGCTTGTAACACTACGCATCTGTAACTACTCCACCTCTATATTTTTAAAATTGTTAAAAAAAAAACTTGACAGAAATTTATTTCCTCTCCCTCCTGTCCTCCACGAAATTGAAAGAAGAAAGGGAAAAAAAATTCCTTGTAACAAACATGCATAATGTATGATACTATTTTGATTTTAAAAAATTAAAATTTTCTCCCAGACCGCCCTTAATCTCATGTCCATTTGAGGAAGTTGGCCTCATAGAAATGGAGGAAAAGGATTTTAAGAGTGGCTTTGGTTTCTGCTTCGTTTTCTTCCTTTCTGCCTTTCTCTCCTACTTAGCATTAGACTTTAATTTGATTTTGAGCGGATTCACTAATGATTATTTTAAATTTCTAGCACTGAATCAAGAAAGGGTGCTTATTTTCCTCCTGCTCTATTTATTGTTTGTTTGAAAATGCTTGACTTAGCAAATGATGTTTCTCTAGGTTCTGTTTTCTTCTTCACAGGTCTAGAGCTAGAAGAAAACTTATAGTCCATCAAGTATATCCCCTACATTTTACAGAAGAGGAAACTGAGGCGTGGAGAGGTGAGATGACTTGCCCAGGGTCACACATCCTGTCAAAGTCAAATAGGATTTGGACCTATGTTCCTGATAAAAAGATTGGGCCCAATCCATTCTATCACCTGTCTTCCCTAAGAAATGGTATTTTGACTCACCGGAGTTGATTATCCAACAGATGATATCACAAAAATTTATAACACCTAGGAATTCAGGAAAATGTTGCACGTTTTTCTCCAGAACCTCTTAAACAACCTGTTGATAGTCTTTTCTATTCTGTTTTACTTCCTGACTCTCCTTCCCAGGTGTACATGGCTTTCATAGGTTTCTCTTTTCTTGCCCTTCTCAAGACTTAATAAATAATAATAAATGTTTAATAAATTTATTATCATTGAGAAACATTTCATTATAATAAATATTATATTATTAATAAATGTAACTTAATTGATTGAAAGCCATTGTCATGAAGGGATTTGATACAGTTATACTAAGACATAAATGGTAAATAAAGCATAACATATTATTTCTTTCAGGGGTATTTGAGTTTTAGTTTTAAATATGATACAAATCAATAAAGAATATGGAACTTAAGTTATCAATTGATGTTAAAAGGTAGTGTAGTACAGTGGATAGACAAAGCAAGGGAGATCTGAATTAAAATTCCACCTCTGACACGTACCATCTGTGTGACCCTGGACACCCGTCTATGCTCTAGGTAGTTTTATAAGTTTCAGAGAAGGTGCCAGCTTGCATTGGTAGAGGAAGATTTTTCATCTGGGAGTTCCTTATGCAAATGAAGTCACAGGTCCAGTTCCAATCACTAAACAAAGACAAAGCTGGTGGGGGAGGCTTTGGGTGACAAGCTCCACTACCTTTTTTTTTTATGACTGCAACATGCCTACTTCTAAGGTTGACTCTGACACTACCCCGTAGAATGATAGTCATACCTTCCTTACTTAGATGCTAACTCCCTCCCCAGTCTTCTCCTTCTCTTTTCTTTTGGCTTTCAGAAGAACGAAATTAGCAAGGAAGGAAGGCACCTCTCTGCATTCTGAGCGTTGAGAGCATTCCAAAGCATGGTAGATGCCTGGCCAGGGCTACTTCAGAAGCTAGTAAATTCCTTGTCCCTGGACATCTTCAGCTGGAGGCTAAAGTATCACTTTGCAATGATGTTTAAGAAAAGCTTGTGCTTCAACATGACTAATGTGGAAATACGTTTCACACAACTGCACATATATAATCTTTATCAAATTATTTGCCTTCTCAATGAGGGAGGGAAGGGGAAAATTTGGAACTCAAAATTTTAGAAAAATGAATGCTAAAAATTGTTTTTACATGTAATGGGAAAAAATAAAATATTAAATCATTGTGGGGGGGAAAGGGAATAAAAAAGAAGAAAAATTTGCACTTAAAGTAGGAACTGGACTAAATGACCTCAGGAGTCTCAATGCCACTTTTCTATGAATTTATAACAACAATGCTATCAAACTCTAGACAGTCAGGGCTACAGTGAATGAACATTAATATTCAAGGTAATAAAGTCTGGGTAAATGACTTTATGTTTTATTACTCATTTTATTATCCATTTGCTTTCAAAACTGTAAGACCATTAGCATGACAAGATTGGAAAAATGGAAAATAATAGATGATTTCAACTAATTTTGAATTATCTCACAAATTCCTGAGAACAGTCATAACTTCTGCCTCTATTTCCTTCTTACCTTTTCTCCTGGCAACCCTGGAAATCCAGTGTCACCTTTTGGTCCCTTTGGGCCCTGTAAAGATATCATAAAAGAAAATTAATATCCTTTAATTATCTGGAAATAATTTGTCAAAAGTGAAAAAAAGAGAAAGAAAGATTGTCAGCCATATGAAAGTCTGGGAAGATTATAGTATTATCTTGATTTTAAACTGGATTTTGGAGGAAAGAGTTCTAGACTAGGAGTCAGGAGAGATAAGTTCTGGTCCTGATGTTGCCAATAATTAGCTGTGTGTACTTGGCTTGTCAAACTCTAAGAGCCTTACTTATTTATCTATAAAATTAGGGGATTGCATTGTCTACCTCCTGATAAAGAATTGATATATTGGGGCACCTAGGTGGTGCAGTGGATAGAGTACTGGCTCTGGATTTAGGAGGACCTAAGTTCCAATTCAGCCTCAGATACAGAACACTTACTAGCTGTGTGACCCTGGGCAAGTCACTTAACCCCATTGCCAAAAAAAAGAAAGAAAGAAAGAAACAGGAATTGATAGATTCAGAGTGCAGGTTGAAACTCTTCTTTTCCTTTCTTTCCTTTCTCTATTTCACATGACTTATGCAATAATTTGTTTTGCATGACTATAGATATTTGTAATGAGTTTTGTTTTTCTTGCCTTCTCAATGAGTGAGTGGGGAATGGGGAGGGGGAAGAGAGAGAATTTGGAACTGAAAACAAAATAAAAATTGAATTTTTAAAAATGAGGGGATTGGATTAAATGATCTCTTGGGTCTTTCAAGTTCAAATGTGCCATTATTGCAAAAAAAGAAATCTATCGAGGAAGTAGCGTTTGAAACTATTGCATCTGATCATGACAACCACATTAGTTTCCTTTTGAGATGGCATTAAATTTGAATTGTATTTAGTCCTAAAAGTCTATGTTTTGCTAAAGATCATCATACTACTAAGAGTTACTTAGTACATAAATGTTACGAATATAATTTTCATGACAGGGTTATAGATCCAGAAGAGATCTTAGAGGTTATTTAGAAAAAGTTCCTCATTTTAGAGACAAACAACTTGTCATTCAGAGAAGTTAAATGACTTCACCCCAAGTCTCTCAGGTAGAGTCAAGATTTGAATTCAGGGCCTGTGACTCCAAGGTCAATGCCCTTTCCACCTCACCATCTTTGCTGATAAAATTGCGGTTTCAGTAATGATGATGATGATGATGGTGATTAGCTTCAAGGTTTGCAAAGCACTTTTTAAATATTATATCATTTCATCCTCACAACCCTGGGTGTAGGTGCTCACTCCTCTAGTGGAGAACACAACCATATCTTCTTATCCTCTGTGATCCTCAATTATAATCTTTCAGTAAGTATTCCACAGATGATTTAGCCAGTGCACTGGAAGCCCTTTTTCTGGTACTTTTAATGCTAGAAGGGTATCAGACCACCATGTAACCTGCTTTTATTTTCATTTTGTGACTGTTCCACCTCCTTTTCCAGCCCTATTTACTGTTGTTCAGTCATTTCAGTCGTGTCCAGCTCTTTGTGACCCCATTTAGGGTTTTCTTGGCAAAGATACTGGACTGATTTGCCATTTCTTTCTCTAGGCTCATTTTACAGATGAGGAAACTGAGGTTTAGTGGCTTGCCCAGGGTCACACAGCTAGTAAGTGTCTGAGGTCAGATTTGAACTCAGGGAGATGAGTCTTCCTATCTGAAGGCCCTGCGCTCTATCTACTATGCCAGCTAGCTGTCCGACACATCTTTGATAATGACTTTCATGATACTCCTTACAGACAGAGACAATACGATGCAACATTTTAAGCTTCATCTTTCTAATGCCCTTTGGTCATAAAACATTATTGAGGAAGTACTGGACTTAGAGATAGACTTCATGCTCTCATTACTATCCTCAGTTGCCTCAGTCCCTCTGATTGCAGGGGTAAAGGGCAGAGCAGGGTAAAAAGCAAGTCCCAAAACTTGCTTTTAAAGTCATCTCTTCATTTCCCTCCAGTTGCAATGCTTGGTTCTGAGTCCACCATCATCATGCCCTAATGCCAGACGTCTTCTTGTCCCTCTATTCTTTCCATCTTCCTTTTAAACATTGTCTTTCTCCATTAGATTGTAAGCTCTTTGAGGGCAGGGACTGTCTTTCTTTTTCTTATTTGTATACCCAACACTTAGCATAGTGCCTGGCACACAGCAGGCACTTAATAAACATGCATTGAGTTGTATTGTATTGTTTCCCTATCTATTGGTTCCTTCCTTCCCTAATGCCTAGAACATACCCAAATTTCCCTCATCCATTAAAGCAAAACAAAACAAAACCCTCCCTAAACTCTACCTTCCCCAACAGCTATCATCCCATATTTCTTCTCATCTTCTCAGCTAAACTCCTTGAAAAAAAAAATTTGCACTCAGTGTCTCTATTTTTTCTTCTCTCGCTGAATTCTAAACTCTCATCGTTCAACTGGAACTGCCCTCTCTGAAGAGACCTATAATATAACTGCCAAATTTAATGACCTTTCCCCAATCTTATTCTTTCTTGACCTCTCTGTAGCATTCCATACTGCTGACCACCTTGTCATCCTAGATACTCACTTCAACACAAATGCTCCTTGGTTCTCCTACATTTCTGACCCTTTCTCAGTGTTCTTTGCTGGTTCATCATCTATATCAGGATCAGGTAAACTACTGCCAATGGTCCAAATTTGCTGGGACTTGTTTTTGAATAGCCCTAGCTAAGAATGGTTTTTACAATTTTAAATAATAAAATGTTATCGTATTTTAAAATGTAGAAACCATCCTGAGCTCTCTGCTCTACAAAGACGGGTAAGGGGGGTTGGTTTTGTCCTCCCAGCCTACAGTTTGCTCACCCCTGATTTGTATCACACACACTAATTCTTTCCTACTGAGGTGGACAGAAGGGAACAGATGTAGATCGGGCCAACTATTTACTCTGTCAAAATAGAAATGAACCTCATTTGGCCCCTCTTAGTCTGAGTGAATTAAAAAGTAACTCCCTTTTGGATCACTCCATTCTTTTTAAAATTCTCACAAAATATCTATTTATTAATCTGCCTAGAATTGTGCTGGGCATTATCCATGTCAAGGTTACTAGCCAATAGTTTATGAACTACATCTCATTCTCCTTTTGGAAAACCAGGGCCGCTTTTGCTTGTAGCTGCCTCTTCCACCTTTGCCACCTCTTCCCTGTTCCACAGTTTCTTACAGATGATCAGCACTGGCTTTGAGGTCACATCTCCAAGTTCTCTGAATTCCCTGGAGTGTAATTCATCTGAGTTTAGAGACTTGAAGTTGTTTAAAGCAGCTAAATGTTCTCTTACTATTTTATCTGTCTTGGACTTTAATTCTCTTTGAGAGAGAAGCCTGCTTTATTCTTTAGAATTTGAAGATCCTTATACTTGCTGTAGACAAAAACACAAAGAACTAGTTTTGCCTCCTCTCTGTTACCTATTACATGGTCTATTTTTTGGGCACCTAACCTTTCTTTGGTCCCCTCTTGTAACATCTCTCCAAAAGTTCTACCCCACCTCTATCTTTTCCTTTCTTTTCAAATAATCCTTAGCTCATTCATTCTATACTTTAGCCTTTATGACATTCTTATAGGACACTGCCACTTTGTTGTTTTTATACCATTAGAACACAATTATATCACAAACTTAAGAATTGAAAAGTACCTCAAAGATCATCTAGTCAAACCTCTATCTGAATGTCATCTCATGTTCTCTTGCCATTTCTATACTTGTCTTGGATTTTAAATACATAGTAACCCAAGTCCCACTTTCTTCATCTATAAAATGGGGCTTTTTTCATCTGTAGTATTTGTCTTATAGGGTTGTTGTGAGGCTCAAAGAAGCTAATATAACATATCCCAAAAATCTTAAGACAAATTCAAGCTTTGATAAGCTTATTAAATTATTATTATTAAATTGTGTGATTTTATTATATAATTATTATTTGGTTTATTAAATTAATAAGCTTATTAAAGTTTAAATTTGCCCTAAGACTTTTGGGATATCCTGTTTATGTAAATAACTTTATAACTTTAAAACATTAAGATGAATGAATGTCTATTAATATAGCTATTATCATTATCATAATTATTATTGGTAGAGCTGATAATGTATATAAAACACTTTGCAAATCTTAAAATCCTAGAAAAATTATTATTAACCTTTAAACATTATATAATAAATATATTATCACATAAATAATGATGTATGTTAAATATAATGTATGTAAAGCACTTTGCAAAGCTTAAAACACTATATAAACATTATTATTAGCCTTTAAAATTATGTAATAAAATATATTATTAAATAGTTAATAAGGCACGTAAAAGATAATGTATAAAATATTACAAACCTTAACATCTATAAGTTAATATTAGCTCTTAAATAGATATAATAAATATCAATTATATAGTTAATAATGCATTAAAAGATATACATATAACACTTTGTAAACCTTAAAACACTATACAAACATTATTATTATCCCTTAAATATTATACAAAACATATTATTACATAGTTAATAATGTATATAAACGATAATGTATGCATAAAACATTTTGTAAACTTTAAAATATAAGACAAAGACTTTTGTTATTTTAGTTAATTATTAGTTCAAATTTAAGGGCCATAATGCTTACTGGGAATCCTGGCAGACCTGGCTTGCCCTCTGGTCCCTGTAATACACCAAATCAAAAGATATATGTTACAGGATTTTCTAGGACTAAGCCCCGAAGCCATTCTCATTCTGTTCATGGACTTGATTATATTAAAAAAAACTATTACATTATTAGCACATTCAGAGATGTAAATAGCAATCTTACCAACAGAAGCTGAAAGAAAAATAATCTCGGAGAGGGTGGTGACATGGGTGCAGAGGACAATCCAATATATGTACAGTTTTTTGTCAGAAGGGATGGGCTATTTTTCAGTGAGTGCCAGCCATGACTCCAAAGCAGCAGGAAGGTGGGGGCCTTAGGAATGGGATTCTCTGGTAATAAGACTTCAGGGTAGGCGTGTGTGAAGATGTGGGGTCACACTAGAGTGCAGAGGCCCAGGGAGGAAGCACATTGTTTGAAACTGGTACCCTTAAACCAACTACAAAGGACTTACAAAGGAAGATGCTATCCACTGCCAGAGAAAGAACTGATAAATAGATGAATGAATAGTATGGTTTTATGTACGCACATATATACATGTGTATGTATGTGTATATATACACACACACATATGTATGTGTCTATGTATGTGTGTATATACATACACACACACACACACATATATATACACACACACACATACATATATACATATTAATTTGTATTTATTTGTAGCCTCTAGGGTAGAATGGGGAGGGAAGGAGAAAAAAAAATAATAAAAGGCGCATAGCAGAGAACAACAGAAAACTTAAAAGGAAGCACAGAAAACAATATGTAAGATTTGTTACATAGTTGTTTTTTTTTTTTAAGTAAATAGTCTGAAAGGAAAATTCATCATTTTACATTGAATCCTCTCTCTATGTTGTGCTGTGTGCATGGAAATGTTTTTTTTATTTTTGTCTTTTTATATTTAAGTTCAAAATGAATAAATTAAAAAAAAAATTTGCACCTTAAGTCGACCTCAAGTTTAAGTACCTCTGTGTACAAACTGGATATTAATATTAATTAAAGAGTCCAATATCTTTTGTGATGAAACTGGTATTAAAGTAGGTAAGAGATCTAAATTGTTCTGATAACCACAGGTGGGACTGGGGATAGTCCACTTTCCACATGAACATGAATGCCATTCTAGCTTAGCTAAGAAAGTGGTCATGATGTGAAGGAAAGTATGGATAAATAAGGTTAATTCACTGGGAATATAACTATGGTGATTCAGATCTGATTGTTCACTGCCAAATACTCAGAGGTGTTTCTCAAATTACTTTGGGAATGATATATGACATGGAGTGAAAATTGCCAGATACGAGTAAAAGTCAGCCCTTCAACTCTCTTTCCTTCCTAACTACTATGTATTTAACCACATGGTATTTATTCTCTACTTATGCATGTACTTGTTTCCAATTACAATATAGTTCCTAGTTTTTGGTTTTCTGAGGAGAATTATGGTGATAGGTAAGAATAAGCACCTAAATAAAGGTGGTTTAAAGAAAAAGCCAATAAGAAAGAGGTTGATCTATTTTTTTTTTGCAATACTGGCAAGACATTGGTCACAAAGACTCAAGAAATGAAAATTTTCTCTGATTGTCTGAAGGATTATGAGCCGTGGTGATCAGCAGAGTAAGGCTGCCTTTTGTAAGTTCAAGTTGATTGCTGAAGATATTTAGGGTTAGAAAATGAATCATTTCCATGGAAAAGATGTTACTGGGGACAAGGTATACTCCATTATAAAAACAGAGCAGACCATGTTTGAAACACACGTTGAGGTCATAACTGCTGATGGATATTTTATCCACATCTTTTGTGCTGGTCTTAGCAAAGAGTGCAACATCCAGATCCATATGACTTCTTTGCCTAGTACCAACAGGTTTATCCAATTTGTAAGAAAATTATGGAGATCATAATTTGGGACATGCAGACAAATAATTTGAAAGAAGTTGTCAATAAACTGGTTCCAGATAACACTGGAAAAGACATATGAAAGGCCAGATAGACTATTTACCTATTTACAATATATTTCTGGAATATATTGTATTTGTTTAGGAAAAAAAAAAGCTCAAATTTGAATACGAAAAGTAATGGAATTTTTATGGGGAAGGTAGTGGATCTAAAAAAAACCTTCTGGAGAAGAAATAGGCAGGAAAATTGATGAATATAAGCACCCAATTCAAGAATCTGTCTAAAATAACTTCTAAAGGTTGAAAAATAA